TTTTATTTTTAGAGTAAAAAAAATACGTGGGGCATGATTATTTTGTATTTTACCCAGGGTCCCAAAATGTTCAAGATCGGCTCTGCCTCGCCATGCATAAGGTGGTAAATTGTTATGAAACATGTTATCATCATGCATTGAAAGGTTTATTTGGAATGGAATCTATATATATATATATATAATAAGAATTACCATTTACTAAAAATAGTAGCCAAAATTTAGGAAACATTTAATGCATACCATTTTTAGAAACTTTTTAAATATATGCATTAATTGCTTCTATATACACGTTTCAAATAAGATCAAATAAGATATGTTCAAAAAAATTACTTAAATAATCAATGATATTCATTATAATAAATTACAAGATTGCTTTTCTATAATTCATGTTGATAATAATTTGGTCAAGATAAATATTATTTTATTAATATATGTAATACTTTCATTGATATTCATTATAATAAATTACAAGATTGATCTCTATGATCTATGTTGATAATATTTTGGTCAAGATAAATATTACACCATATTTTAAGTTCTAACCATAATATTAATTTTTTTCACAAATATTCACTTTTTATCCAAAAATATTTATGAAATTCTAAAAAAACATGTGTATATTTTGTAAAATATTTATACACTATTTAATTTTAAATTTATTTACATATTTTAAATTGATTACATAAATAAATAATCCTAACGTGCATTAAATATTTTTCATTACATAAAATAAAAAGAAAAAGAAGACGTACAACTTCTATAACTTTACAAATAATAATGACATCATATGACAACAAAGTTTATAATAAAATAATAATTAAGTATTATATATGGTGAACAAGAATAAATAAAATTGTTATTCTCTCTTATATCAAGGAATAAATATATATACTAAAATCAAATTTATATTAATATAAATGTGTTAGTGAGATAATATATTAATTATTTTACAAGTTAGCCCTAACATGCTCATATTTAATGTTTTGACTAAAAAAACAACGCTGATTAAAAGAAGTGAAAAATAAATTGTAACCTTATTGTTTATTACACTTAACGCTGATTAAAAGAGGTGGAAGATAGATGATAGCCCTATTGCTTTATATAATTAACGGACAAAGCCAGTAAATAACTTATTTAATATTTATGTTCCGTGCATCGCACGGGGGTACGTACTAGTCATACATAATTAGGCCCCAAAATTCAAACAACAACCATCTGAAAAATAAATAAATAAATAAATATATAAATAATTGTAGCAAGAACGAAAGAAAGAAAACCAGCAACCAAGATTGTTTTATGTTACTTGTAAGAGAAAGAGATGTCATGAAATCCATTACATATTTCAGATTTTACACCACGCAATCAGGAGTAAAGTTTCCTGTTACAAACACATAAAAAAAAAAACAAATAAGTAACATCACGACCTGAACCCATTGCTCAAATATCCCCCGTTCTTATTGCTAAATAACCATCTCACATTCATTATTCTCTCTTTCTACTAGATTAAAATTCCCAAATCTGCTTGTAAAACTTGGGTTACTTCAAAAACCTCATCTCAATTCATCCAACAAGTCACAACCCTTTTTCGTGTACCAACACATGAAAGCCATCTGTCTTATCTTCCATCCCAACTTCCTTAAACCCCTTCACGACTTTATTACACATGTCGAGATTAAATTCCGAACTCGTGGATTGCTTCCACTGATCGACTATCTCACCAGCCTCTCTCAAATGCCCGAGCATCAAGTACGAAGAAAGTACACAAACATAATTTCTTCCAGTCATCTTCTGTCTCGTTGTCCTCATGGACTGCCAAATCTGGTCAACTCTATCTTTATTCCCCAAACCCCCATAAAGAATCACCAGAAAGTCATATGATATGAGTTCCCTCTGCGTAACACCACCTTTCTCGCTTTCCACTAAAGAGCCCAAACCCGAATCTGAATTCTCTAGTTGACCGGCCATAATGTAAATTCTAGCAAGTTTTGAATATCTAATCCAAGTCTCGTCGCAGCCCGGGTCGACACACATCTCGTCAAGAATTTTTTCGGCTTCATCAATTTTTAAAGCCGCAGCACAAGAACTCACCCATAAATTGTACGTAAATAAATCTCGGGCAACATTTCGGGTTTTCATGTCCTCAATAACTGAGGGAACCTTTTCAAACTGGCCTACCGAGATGTATAGAGTCATTAGCTCATTGAAAGTGATTGCACTTAACATTGCACTTAACGGGGGAAATGAATCCTTTATTCTTTTGTAGAGGAGTTCGGCCTTTTCGGTTAGTTTTAGGCTGGCATAGGAGTGTAGGAGGGCTGTGTATGTCTCGCTAGTTTTATACAAGAGAGGTAGAATTTCAAAGTAACGTTCAGCTGCATCAATGCCGAAAACTCGGGCCAATAAGTTGATACGGACAGCATAGTCAGAGACGGATAAGAAATACTCCTTGTGACTGACCATCCATTCTGATATCTGCAAGTTCGAAAGAAAATGCATAAAATAAAAATGTGACTTAAGTAATGATTCGAGGGAAGTTTAAGCGTTAAAAGGACATAACAAAAGGGGTGCGCTAAAGGTGTTATGTGTAAGCACCAATTGTGAACGTGCTTTTTATTTGTCACAACTCACAGGTTACAATTTACATGAATCAATTAAGGAACAGGATCTTGGGGTCTCCCTGATAAAGAGAAATAGGAAAGAAAAGGAATAAATGAAGAAGAAACCTGCAGATAAGAATATTCTACTGTGTATACTTTTCATTCCAAAAATCAATTACAACCAAGAAACAGGCTTCAGCAGGAAACATTTGCTTGGTTGAATGCAAATACTCTCCTCTAATTTTATAAGGGCACAAGATAGTTGCACCCAGTTAGCTAGAACTAAAGGTGTTGAAGTCAAGTGCATACTTAAACATAAACAGGACAAATTGTGCACCAAATGGAGGATGGCAACATGTGAATAAAAGGAGCTGTAATTTTTGTAGACAACATCAAGCCAATCTCAAAGCTATTGCCATTTGAGCAACAAGTTTCACCTCTAGCAGTAGCACAGTGCAAATCAAACAACTTATACTTTACATACCACTACATTCTTTGTGGTCTTTCTCACAGTTAAACCAAACATCCATTCAGTTGATTACACATTTTCTTTTACCTTTTTTTTTTTTTAATTTTTTTTTCCAGTGTTCTCAAATTTAAGTTGGACATTCAAAACAAATCAAGCAAGAACACATATATATGTTCGAGACTCTACATAAATCACCCTTTTCCATCCATCTCAAATTCCCAACATCAGGAGCATAAAGAAGAAAACTTTACATACCTCAAGTGCGTGCTTGTATCGGTGAGATATGCGGAGGTCCCTGGAGATGCTTCGGAGATCGGAAATGGTGATTTCATTGCCTTCCCCAACCCATTTCTCTAAAACAGTGGTCACACTTCTCTTGGGAAGCCTGAGCCTGAAAATTCGGCTCTTCAAATCATCTTTCTCTTCTTCTTCAGGAAAATCATCCACGATTTCGGCATGCGCCGCCGTGATTGTCTCTTGTTTAACAGCTTCGATGCTTGAGGAAATGGATCTGAATCGAAATTTCTTGTGCCCTTGCAAATTTCTACATACAAGAAATATGAATCAAAATCAATTTGATTCAATCCAGGCAAAACAAAATTGAGCTAGGAAGTACGATAATTAGAATAAAATGGAGATTCTGGTCGAAAATACGCGGACCTGGCGAGAGTTAGGAAGATGGAGCGGGCAGCCATTGGAGTTCAGTGCTGTTCTTACCGGACGCTGTGTAATGAATGGGAATTTAAGGTTTAAACGTAGATTTCATTAATAATTATGTTTATGGCACTTGAGATAAATCATCAATCATCATGTTACCTCTTTTTTTTTTTTTTAAAACATAGATTTCATTAATAAAAATAAACTAGTACAATACCCGTGTAAACACACGGGTGTTGAATTAGGAAGCATATGTAAATAATATTATTTTTTTAAACTAAAATAATTTAATTTTATATAAAAATTACTTTGGGTTTTAATTAAATTTTTAAATTATATTTTTTTAATCATAATAATTAAACACTCGTATATTAAATGGAAATATCAACTCATATTGAATTTTTTTTACTTATATCATATAACATGATCGATATTATTTACTATTATTAAGTAAAAAATATATATCTTAAATAAATAAAAATAATATGGTGATATGTATATGCATAAGCGCAGAATATGTTTGTTTAATATTAAGCAAAATGGATTAATTTTGTACTTAATTAGATGCCTAATACATCAAATGCCGTATCCATCGTGCTTCACAGTTTTCTAACTTTATATGCAATTTTAGAATTTAGATAAATAATTATTTATTTTTATTAGATTGATAACATACCAATTAGATTTGAAATAAATATCATTTTTAAAAAAGAATGCATACCAATTTTATTACTTTATAATATAATTTATAGTTTTATTTGATATCTTTTAATTTAGTTTGATAAATAAACTAAATTTTATTTATAAGAATATATATTATTATTTTGTGTTATATATATAATATGGATGTCAAATCAAAAATCGTTAAAAGATAGTTAAATTTGATATATTATATATAAAAAATAAAATACAAACAAAAAAGTTATAGAATCTTTAAATAAGAAGAAGAAAAATTTATAATAACTAATGAATGAATTAAATAAGAAAATGAAATGTAATGTAGGAAAAAAAAAATATAAATTAATTTATGGTAACTAATTGTAGAAGCAAAAAAGGAAAAAATCAATGGATGAGGGCAGTGAAACTATAGACAGTGACTTTGATCTTAGATCAGAAAGTAGTTGTGGGACGGATGATGATGACTTTGATCACAATGTAGACAAATCTGTGGAGTTTGAAATTGAACCTGAGTCTGATAGTGGGGAAGAAGATTTGGTTGAAACTCAACTTGATTTTGATGAGTTTTGTTCAGATACTGAAACAGTTGAAAAGAGAGAAATTGTCTTTAATCCTAGCAATATCTATGATCCAACATTTGCATTAGGAATGGTCTTTGGTACTAGAGAAGAGTTTAAGAAAGCTGTACAGTCTCATGCTATTAAGTCCAAAAGAAGTGTGAAATTGAAAAAAAATGATAAGATTAGGGTCCATGCAGTATGTTATTCAGAGGAGTGTCAGTGGAAAATTCATGCCCTGAAGATTACTGACCAGGAAGCCTTCAAGATAACCACTTACAACCCCACCCATACATGCCCTATATCTTTTCATCTTAAAAACATTAAAAGTAAGTGGTTATCTGAGAGGTACTTGAGCAAGTTTCAGGCTGATTCCTCAAGAAAAATAAAGGGATTTAGAAGGGAAGTGGTTCATGAGTTGGGGGTTGGGATTTCCAGGCACCAGGCTTATAGGGCTAAGAAGAGAGCTCTATAGGTACTTGAGGGAAATCCAGATTCACAATATGAAAAGTTGTGGGATTATGCCCAACAACTGAGGGATACAAATCCTGGTTCAACTGTGATTCTAGATGTTGAAGAAGATGATGGTGTTCCTAGGTTCTCCAAATTCTATGTTTGTTTTGCTGCACTGAAGGAAGGTTTTAGGAGTGGTCTTAGGCCAATAATAGGGGTTGATGGCTGTCATTTGTCTGGACCCCACAAGGGTATTCTTCTTACTGCTGTAGGTGTTGATTCTAACAACAACATATATCCCTTAGCTTATGCTGTGGTTGGTAAAGAATCTAGGGATACTTGGGAGTGGTTTCTGATTGCATTGAAACATGATCTTGGCATTGTGCATGACAGTGATTGTACTTTCATTAGTGATAAACAGAAAGGGTTGATTGTGGCTTTTCAGAATGTTTTTCCTGACTCAACACATAGATTTTGTGTTAGACATCTGCACAATAAGTTTAAAAATGCTGGTTACAGAGGGGCTGCATTTAAAAATGCCTTATGGGCTGCTGCACAGACAACTACTGTGGGTGAGTTCCATTTTAGAATGAGACAAATGAGCAGTGGCGAAACCACATTGAGGGCCGGAGTGGCGCCGGCCCTCCAAAAAAAAAATTTGGGGGTTTTGGTGAGAGGTTGAGGCAATCGAAGGGGCTGGAAATGGAAGTGCGCCCTTTGAGCGCCCTTCCGATGCCGCCGGAGGCCCGAAAGAAGATGAATCTGGGCCCTCCCCGTGCTGGGATCCTGGTTTCGCCACTGAAATGAGAGAAATATGTGTAGAAGCTGTAGACTGGTTCAATGACAAGAACCCTGCACATTGGTCAAAATCACAGTTTGAGGAAAAACCAAAGTGTGACATCTTGTTGCATAACTTGTGTGAGAGTGTTAATGCATGCATTGTTGATGCTAGAGAGGAACCCATAGTGACTGTTTGAATGAATCAGAATGTACTTAGTGAAAAGGCTTCAAAGAAACAGGGATAGGGCAGAATTGAGATGGAAAGGCAATGTGTGTCCAAAGATCATTAAGACAGTGGAGGCTAATATGGCAAAGTTAGGTGGCTGCATGCCTATAAAAAGTGACAACACTCACTATCAAATAGAGTGTTATGGTGGAGGTCAGTATGTGGTAGACTTGAAAAAGAAAACTTGCACATGTAGGTTGTGGGACTTGAGTGGGATACCATGCAAGCATGCATGTAGTGCGATTGTATCTCAAAAGGGCAATGCAGTTGATTATGTGCATGACTACTACAGTGTGGAAACATATAAAAGAGTTTACAAACCAACCATCCTAGGTATTAACTGTCAGATGTTGTGGAACCAAACCCACTTCATTCCACCTTTGCCTCCCACATTTGGAAGAGGTGCAGGTAGACCTAAGAAAGCAAGCAAGGAGGATTGATCCTGATGAGAAAGGAGAGAAAAGACAGAAAATGAAGGCAAAGATTCAAATGAAGATGAATAGGCAACAGACAAGTTTGAAATGTGAAAAATGTGGCAATGTGGGTCACAATGCCAGATCTTGTGGCAAGAAAACCCTTTCTGATGCCAAAAAGGATCAGAGCCCACTAGCTAAAGCAAGCCGGTCAATTGTAAGCAAAATTACAGCTTTTATGTAAAATATGTCTTAATTTTCAGTTTTGTTATTTATTGTTACAAATTAAGAGGGCTTATTTATGTTTCCATACTTTTGCAGTTGCAAATTAAGAGGGCTAATGCTGCAAGACAGGAGAAAGCAGCTAAGACTGTTGCAAAAAAGGCCAAAGAAAAAGAAAGGGAAGCAAAGAAACAGAAACGAGGTTTAAGCATTGATAAGCAGGTGGTACTTTATTCATTTTTTCTTTTTATTTCATTTAATTACATTATTAACAAATGTGCCTGATTAACAACTTGTTGTTTCTTGAACAGAAACAAGGCTCCACCTCCACCATAGAGAAAGAGGTATTACTTACTTTGTTAATTTTTCTTTGTAATTCATTTATGTTATGGTCACTGTCAAAAAATGGTGCCATGACTGTGTTTTTTCTTCAACAGAAAGAAGGGCCAAGCATGGCACCACCTGCTCCATTTGTAGAAGAAACTACTAGGATGATGAGGGCTTTGTGTCACAATTGACACAAGAGTTTTGTGCAACTCCACAGCCTGAGATGACAAAGGGACCCACACCCCTTGAACAACTGAAAATGGGATTAGGAGATGATTCATACTTTAGAGGTAAACAGTTGGAGGCCATCACTGCAAGAGATGGAACTCCATCAATGTTTGAAAGGATTCAAAATGACCTCTCTTTAGGTAGCTCATCTCAGAAGTTGAAGCAAATCAAAAAGGAGAAGGAAGAAAATTCTAGAAAGAAGTGAATTTCAGTTGATTTGGTTGTAAAACACTTGCAGGATTTGTTTGCTTATTTTGGTGGGAAACTGAATAGCAAGATATTGTTAATTTTTTTTGGGATATTGTTATTTTTGATTTGAAACTTAATGGCAGGATATTGCAATGTCATTTATGTTATGCTTAGTGGTTGTAAAACACTTGGTTTGTGCTCTTTTTTTGTTTAGTTAATGGAACACATAAGTTGTGATGGTTATGATCAGTTATGATGGTTGTTCTACTGTTTAATTTGTTTGTGTTGAGTTGAGATGGCTGTGATCAGTTATGCATTGCCTTTGAGTCATATCAGTGGTTGTGACAAAGAAATGGTCGAGTTGTGCTGTTGAGTTTTAATAGTCTAGTTCCAAAATCAAGGGAGACAAGTCTGCAAACTAAAAGAAATTTCATTGAAACCACAAGTGCATTACATAGATGTTTCAAGATAAGGTACACATAAAATACAAGAGTACATAGAAGAATACAAGAGAAAATAAACACATTACACAACCTTCTTCAATCCATAGCCTTCACCTAATTCTATATAGCAAAAATACACACAACAAAGTTGCTATAGCCAATGCAAACCCCATTTTCATCTCCATTTTTTCTTTCTTTTCAACCAACCTCTTGTTCAATGCTTGCAATTTTTCAACCTTTTTCTGCAATTTTTCAATCTTCTGCTCCAGTTTTTCAACCTTGTCCTCCAATTTGGTATTCTCAAATTTTAAGTTTTCATTTGCTTTCTCCACTGCCTTTATCTTCTTCAATAACCCAGGCATGATTTTTTCAGGCCGATCACAGGTAGGAGGGTCCACCCAAGAGAAAAAATTGCAGCCTCCATTCTGTACATTAACAAAAAAAAGGTTGAAACAAGGTTGATTTTGTCAGTGCCTTCATATTCTGTACATTAGAAACAGAACACATACAGAAGCAATTGAACATTGCACATTGCAAGAAACAGATCACAAAACACAAAACATTGCCTTCATATCCAGTGCCTCAATTGAACATTGCAAGAAATATAACACAAAAAAACACAGAAGCAATTCTACCAAAAATATCATATAAACACCCTACATGATTCATGGCGTAAGACACATACAATTCTACCCTAAATGAAAAAATAATGCGTCGTTAACAGAACACCGTACCTTGTACTCGAGGCAAGAATGAAATCTCCTACCCGGGTTGTCGGTCGTCCATGATGTGCGAATAACGGCCATTTTTCTGCACCGACATTCCAAGAAACCGGTAGAATGCGACGACTCAGATATGTTGAAGGTGAACGAAATCGACAATTTTGAAGAACGAAATCAACAATTTTCAAAATTAGGGTTCTTGAAGATTTGGGGATCTTGTGATTTGGGAAATTAGGGTTGAAGGAAGATGAAAATGGTTCAAAAATCAGTAGGCCTGATTTTATGCCCGTTTCTTTTCCACGTGTGTAGACACGTGGAAATTTTTTTTTTCCTTTTCATTTCAGCTGCCACGTGTAACTGAGGGAGCCAGCGTGTTAAAACTCTTGGCGATAATATCCGTACATGGGTATGACAACTAGTCGACCAATCAAAACAAAATGTTCGGTACATCTTTTTAATAATTTATATGAACAAAATGATAGTCATCATGACAAACTTTATTCATGATACATAATATATAATTTAAACAGCCAATCTTAATATTGTTTCCTCACACATAATATTCGTGCATCGCACGGGGTATGCATGCACTAATCATTATCATATGAATTTGGGTCCCCGAATACAGTAAACTTAATTATTTTTTTTGCAATACGAAATGCGAAAACCACGAACAACAACAATAAACCCACTTAATTTCTCTCACGCAGCGTCGTCATCGATTCTCACGCAGTCCAAGTTGCTTTTGCCTCCAAATCGCTTGCTTGGCTTGGTTTCAAGGTACTCGATAAACTTCATCGGGCGATATAATGCCCGGCCATCACGCTCGACAAGTGGGCCCGCAGGGACCACAATATTTTCTGGGGCTGGCGCATTCGTGATGATTACCGACATCCTCGTTGCTTGTTTGTTCACCACGGCCTTGTGCACCACACTCTTGTACCTCCCATTGCTAAAAATCTAAAAAAAAATAAAAATAGGGAGGACAATTAGATTAAAAACCAAGAATAACTTCTTCTTTTTTGTGAAAACTAGTTTTTAACCCGTGCATTTGCACGGAAAACAATATAATAGAACNGGTTTTTCAGGACAGTGAAAATGTGGGCTGACGTAGGATTTAACGAAGTCACGCCAGTGACGAATTCTATGGTTGGAGGTTGTGAGGAGAGAGCCGGAGCCTGCCTTGATGGGGTCCGAAGGGCTCTTGGGCTTGTACACTTTCTTTTCGTGGTCCGGCAGATCGAAATACTCCAAACTCGCCTCTATTACGCCTTTCATAACTCTCTCTGGTATCCCATGATTTATCAACTAAAACAAAAATGAAAACTAGAAAATTATCAAAAAAATTTAATAATTTTTTCATTTGTCTTCTCAATTTTTTTTTTTCTTTTTTTCACATGCACGTACGTGTCTGGGAGCATCATTTTTAAAGGTAATCAAATGGGTTAGACAGTTAGACTTATCTGACTCTCTCTCCAAGTGAATGAGACCGAGAAAAATAAAATAAACAATTCAAGAATATACTAAGAAAATATGAAATCTTGGTTTTTAATTACTATAAAGATAGATAGAACAAAATAAAAATAATATTCTAAAATGGCAATTTAGCCAACCAAAGGAAAGAAAGAGAGGAGGAAAAAAAAGTTACTTCGATGTATTATTATTAAAAACTAAAAATGGGAAACAAAGAGTAAACAATAAATTAAAACAAAAATGGTTTACCACAAAGAAGCCCCCATCTTGACAGGCATGAGCGAGGTCCTTGAGGGCTTTGGACCGTAGATCGGAGTCTGGAGAGGTGAGGTGGGAGAAATCGAGGGTGGGGATGGAGTTGGAGTAAGAGACTTTGGAGTCGTTCTCGAAAATGAATTGTGAAGGGACTGATTTAAGAGCACCGGATTCTGCAACCACTTTCACGAATGAATCAACTTGAGAAGCCATTTCCTCTATTATTATTAATTTCTCTTCAACTATGTGTGTTTTGGAAAATAGAGGAAAACAGATCAGTGTATATATATTGGTAACAATGAGTTTTTTTGGCCCTCTATTTATAGAGTTGAGAGGTATATATATAAGTGTAACAATGAGTTTTTTTGGCCCTCTATTTAGGCCATCTCCAACCAAAAAACTCATACTCAAACCCATTTTGCAGTAACTGTCACATTTTTTGCAGTAATTTATCTCCAACCAAAAAACTCATTCTCAACCCCAAAAGAATATTCTCACACATCAAGTTTTATAACTTTTCAATACTACCCCACATATTTAATAATTCTACACATTCAACCCAATATTATTTTATATTTGATTTGAAAAATATATAATAATTTATTATAGATTGATAATTCGTACATATGTAAAATATTGGAATACATATTTTTTCAGTTATATTTTTCATATTTTAGTTTATTATATACATCTAATTTGTATTTCATGGTTTATAATGTTATTTTTCATTGGTAAGAAAATTTATTATATATATATATATATTCTTTATGTTAGTATTTAATTTATGAAAAAATAAAGGATAAATATTAGTATGTTAATATATTTAAAAAGAAAAAGATAAATATGACAATTATGTAAATAAATCATAATGAACATAATACAATATTACATAGGCAATAAATTTGTTAGAATACAACGACTCCAATAAATTTTCTTATCTAAGTTTAAATAATTAATTTTCTTCATTTGAAGAATTATTTATCTTTTTTTCTAATTATTGTCCAATCATGTAATTAATAACAAACATGGGTGTGAGATTGCAATTTGAAAATTACAAACGCAAATTTTGCGTTGAAACGCATATATGCGTTTATTTGATGAGAGAGAGTGAGCAAAACGCATTTTGAGTTTGCGTTTGGTGTTTGGTTGGATCAATTTATCTCCCTCATTTTGCGTTTTGGAGTTCGATTAGAGTTGATCTTACAGAGTTGAGAGAGGTATGAATGAATGAAGTTTGGTAAGCAAATTTGTAACTTATTAATCAGTTTGTAAATTTATTTTATTCCAATAAATTTGATCTGGCAAAATTCGTTTTTCTAAAAAGTTCGATTTTATGCTATATACTTATTTACGTA